ATTAAATACATAGATGAATCATTGCTTTGATAAAGATGCATCAAAATCTTTTTCAGCATTATTTTAACCTTTTCCAGGAAATCAAATGGACTACAGTTGTTAACATATCATATGGAGAATAATTGAAGTCACAATAAAAAAAAAAACCTAACTGAAATCAAACGACTTTTTCCTTTGTCTATTGACTGTTTGTCTCTTGACTATTATAGTAAGTGGGAAATTAGCCAAGGACTTCAATGGAGCCAGGATTTCACTTGTAATTTTTCCAGCCTTCTAAGAAGAATGTTAATGTACTGCAATGACTTTGCTAATTTATCATGAAAAAGCGAATAAAACCTTTTCTTCCGTATATTAAAAAAGAAGGCCTTTTTGTTTCATATTGCCTAATCAGCAAAATTAGATCTATTTAAGATTGAAATTTAAATCTTTAAAGATTAAAAAAAAATCCATAATGGTAATTTACTTCTAGATATATTTGGCAAATATTTGTATGTGAAATAGTTATTAAAGAATCCAAAGGCTTCAATACATTTTAGTAAAATGGGTATACTAATCAGTGTCAAGTTAATTTTCATTGACAATTTGATCATATTCATTTTATGAACATTATCAATGAAAACTTTCTCAGAATGCATTTGCTTGGTGCTACATGGCTTCCAAATGCCCTGTGAAAGACATGATTGACTTTTTGTTGTTTTTGACTTCAGAAAGGTGAGAAAGGAGATCCAGGCATTCGAGGCAACAATGGACAGAAAGGAGAATCTGGTATCCAGGGCTTGGTTGGACCTCCTGGTCTCAGAGGTCAGCCAGGAGACAGAGGACCCCCGGGACCACCAGGTTCAGATGGAAAACCTGTATGTATTGAACTTCAGACTTGTCATGTTCAGCAGCTAGAAAACTTGAAACGATCTCTGATTTTATAACCTTTCTCTGTTCAATTCAGGCACGAGAATTTTCGGAAGAATTTATTCGGCAGGTGTGTTCAGATGTACTAAGAAGTGAGTTCCAGAGATTCTTAATGTGCCTTTCTAATTTCAAATGTGAAAGAGGCTTCCTGATAATTATCGAGATGCTTTCTTGAAAGTAGGATCATTAGTGCTGATTTATCACTGATGTATATATAGCTGTAGATATATATTTCTGTACCACAGCCTCCATAGCTATCTTGTTTCTTAAGGCAATTTATCTTCTCTAAATAGAGGAAGCGTATTTTTTTTTTATAGTAGTTGCGGGGTTGATACTTTTGTATTTTAGTGTGCACAGTGGTAGTGTTGTCACAAGGCTCTAAGCAATTTTTGTTTGAATTCTCCCAGCCCAGTTGCCTGCTATCCTGCAGAGCAGAAGGCTGCAGAACTGCAATCACTGCCAGTCCCAAAGCGCTTCCCCAGGACTTCCGGGGCCGCCAGGTCCAAGAGGCCCAGAAGGCCCGCGAGGGTTTCCCGGTTTGCCAGGAAATGACGGTGTTCCGGGTCTGACAGGGGTTCCGGGTCGCCCTGGTGCTCGTGGGACGAGAGGTACTGCATTCGTGAGCTGCGGTGCTGTTTCTTGCTTCTGGCTTTGCATGGTGGGAGAGGAGGGTGGAGTAAGGGAATGGCTGGGAACGTATCAGAGCAGGTACCTGAGCACATGGTGCAAGGTAAATGTGTCACTGCTTACGAAGAACACAAAAAATTCTCTTAATTCTCCATCATCTATTTCCTCCCTATGTAGTGTCTGTCTCCTTAACAGGTGCTGCATTGACTCTTAATTTAGTAGAAATGAGGATAGTTAAGGAGCCCATTATGTTGTGCAGATTACAAGGAGATGCTTATTTTATATCCCATAGTTTGCTTCTGAACTATTACATTTTTTAATCAATAACTCATCTCAAGTGTTAACTTCTGAATTTCTCAGAAAAAAATATTCTAGTGTGCAAAGACGTGCATGTGTTTACTAATCCACAGGCCTGCCAGGAAAGAACGGAGCAAAAGGCAATCAAGGAATTGGTGTTCCTGGGATTCAAGGTCCCCCTGGTCCTCCAGGTGAGGGTTGGTCCAGCTCTGCATGTGCATTCAGTGCATGTGAATAATTTTAAAAATGTGGTTTATAAAAATGTTAATATAAATTGGAAGGACTGAAATATTTTTCTACACATCTTAATTACCATATACCTTTTAATGCTTCATGTCCATCTCTTATATGCCTTTTAAATTGCCATAGAACACATTATTTAATACAAGGTAGATCCTGTAGGAATTGGTACCAGGGTTTCCTATTTCTTGGCAGACTGGGTCTAGAAATCAGCCAAGCTGCCTTTTGCAAAGCAGTACCTGTTTTATTGGAAAACCGAGCCCCAGTATAATCATGCGACTTGTAACCATTGCTCAGTGAAGGCAAGTGTTCTTCCTAACAGCAGTGTGTTCTTTCCAAAAACAAAGCTGAGTGTTTGGAAGAGATGTTCCAAAGCTGAATGGAAGTAAGAGGACTTTGATTCATGCCCTGGGATTCCAGATTGTGTGTCAAAGTATGAACAGTGTACTAAAGGAGATTTTTATACTGCCTTGTAAAAGTTTTATTTAGATTTAAAGACTTTTCCATGCTTTTTTATTTAAAATCTTGATCAGATAATGCATTATTAGTATGAACATAGAAACACCACTTTGTGATGGGAAGAGTCTTTTTCAAGGAATGACATTCTCTTTGTCTGGATACTGCTTTTCAGCAAAGAGCAGGGGTTTTGTGGGTCGGTATTTGCTCTTGTTTTCATTTTAATGTATCTTCTGTAATGTATGTGTTTACTACATATGTGTTGTTAAGGTCCTGAAGGCCCTCCGGGTATGAGCAAGGAAGGACGCCCTGGAGAACGTGGGCAGCCGGGTAAAGACGGAGATCGTGGCAGTCCTGGGATGCCGGGGCCAGTCGGACCCCCTGGAATCTGTGATCCATCGCTGTGTTTTAGTGTCATTGTGGGAAGAGATCCATTTAGAAAGGGACCAAATTATTAATTTGTGATATGATACATTAGAGAAATAGGTATGGTGCTTGTCTTTTATGGTCTTTAAAGTCTCAGGAAGGTGACCAGCAATAATCCCATAAACAGGAACAGAAGTACCTCTGATATTATAAATTAATAAGAATTCCAAAGGTTACATGTTCCTTTCTAAAAGACACTCCAGTAATTTTTTGTAACTTGCGTTGATTGAATATCAAGTGTTTTTAAAGACAGATTAGTTTTAATAGGAGTAAAATTTGCTATAATATTTGCTGTTTACTATTTAAGTGTCCTGTCATACTCCTGCTACCGCTGAAGTCACGTACAAAACTTCTGTTGACTCCAGTGGGAGCAGGATTAGGCATTAATAGTTATTGGTCAGGTGTAAATTACTGTGAAATTTTCCACATGAAGCCTACCTACACAGGATTTGATTTTGAAAGAATGTGGCTGGCTTTTATTTCATATGTGTGTGAATCTCGTTGGCTTGTGTACTTTTCACATGTCTTAGCTCAAAGTGTTCCATTAGCAAAAGCATATATCAGATTTTTATAAAAAGTGAGAAAAAAAAGAAGTATTGTGACTTTTTATGGAAGTAATATCATCTACCTTGTCATGCAATTCCTCGTTTAAAATGAAGATGAAATGCAAGGGTAGAACTCCTACTGATTCAAGCAGGGCCAAGATTTTACTGAAGATGATACGTTCAACCACAAAAAGGTCCCGTGTGGGTGATCTGGCTTATGTGAAAATTGCTTTTTTAAAAATTGGTATAAATGGCTTGGAGCTCTTATTTGACAAAAATAAAAAAAAATAATGTTTGCACAAGCAAAATGAAACAGTTCTGCATAATTATGGATTAAGTTATATGCGCTTTGCTGTTTCTCCCCAAGGACTGCAGCTGTCGCATAGAAGAAGCAGGTTTACAAGAAGAAAGGTCTAACTGCTGGCTAACTAGCTGTAATGTTTGTTATGCTGTTTCCTGGTTCATTTTAAGCAAGCTCTGTGTAATTTTCATTGTATGCTTTGCTGATAAGGTGTATTGCTTGCTTTTACATAAAGAGCAAAGGCACAGTTCCCATTAGAATCCAAAATCCTTTTCTTAAATTAATGCAGAATCTTGTATTGAACTTAACCAAAGCTTTATAAGTGGCTTTTTCTGATGTGGTGTTTTTCTGTTGTCATACTATGAGAAATTGGTAATATGCTTGACATTCAAGGCAAAATAAAATTTTGTACAGAACTGGTGGTAGCTAGATGAGTAGTTGCAAGTTGCCTGTGTTACATATAGCAGAGAAGAGTGCCTCCTGGCAGGGTATTTCCCCCTGACGGGTATTTCTACTTCGCAGCAGTGCTTTTTATTTGGTGGCCTTCCCCAAAGAAGGACGGAGCAATGCGGTGCCTGAGCGATGCCTGGGCCGGGGCTGGCCCTGACGGCTCTTGCCTGCCACATCTCGCTGGGGAGGGTCCTGGCGAGCGTTGCCCCTCGCCAAACTGAACCTCTGCCATACCAGGAAGCCCGGCAGAGTGCAAACCTATCTTTCCCCTAAAGCTGATTTAAAATCCTGTGAGACAGTCCTTGGAAGACACCTGTTATCTCAGTGCGTCAAGTAAATAACTGAGAAATGAAGTTATGCATGCAATTTTCTCTCCCAAATAGTCATTCAAACTATTCAGTGTTGGCTTGGCGCCTGCTATGCTGCAGGACTTTGCTTGCGTGAACAAGTATTGTTTGAATTTGTGGGAAACTGGAATCTAGAAACGTCATATTCATTTCTGTCCAGTCTGAGGGTGTTTATTTTCTGAGTGCTGTGTCAGTGAGGAATCAGACCCCTGCACGTTTCTAGACCCTCTCCATGTTGTATGCTAATTTAAGTCGCTGTTTAAGGCACCTTTTCCAAGAAAACGTACAGCATTGTGATTGGTGGGCAGGTGGGTGGCAAGGGACCTCCACGCTAACACCTTCTGGGAGGTGTTCTGGGGGGAGCAAAAAGGAAAAAAGAGCAAGTCAGAAGGACTTCTTACTGCAGTGATCACCAGCAACAGAAAGTCAGAATTCCTGTCTTGTAGAAAATCCCCGTACTTAGTTTCATTGTGATTTAAAGCAACACACACACATTCTTCCACATCAGAAAAATGGGGAAAAAACTGGAAGTTTCAGAATATTTCACTTTTATGCATTTGTTTGGGAGAAACATTTTCCTTCTGTATTTAAACATTTCAGTTTCATCAAGAGGAATAAAAATTTTAACATAGTGCATTTGACCAGGAAAAATGTCTTGATTCATCTCTCCAATCTGATTTCTTGGGAGCTTAGGTTATGATTTCATTTTGTAAAAGCAGTGGCGTTGCAGTCACCCCATTAGTCCTATTGGATGGTTGCTTCAAAACTCTTATTCTGACTGAGGCTCTTCATGTCATTTCCGGTCTGCCTCTATTCGTGGCCACTTTATGTACTTCTACTCTCGTCCTAGCGTTGCCTTTGGCATGAGTAACTTCTTTTCTTTTGACGCCTTTCAGAAAGTCACTGTTCCCTGTGAGCCTTTTGCTGGCCTCTGCTAGCAGACAGAACTCTGCTTCCTCTCCACAAGCAAAATTGTTTTCTCTCCACCTATTTGAAAGGCTCCCCACCCTCCTTATAATCCTCGCAGCTCTCCACTTCTTTACGGGACAAGTCATTCTGGAAATGTAACCATAGTTCTAGGTAAGGGCTCATATGTACCTCAGTGGCACTGATACATACTCGAAACATCTGCTTCACTTTTTCTTAATTTTGGTATAAGTTATACAAATGTCCTGTAGGTATTCTGTGATTAACTGGTTTTACCCAGTTCTGTTTTCTCTTCTGCTTTTTCTAGCTGATGAGCAACTAAGCTAAGGGTAGTTCAGGCTGGAAGCGACCTCTGCTGAAAATAGATACGCTTATTATTTCTTAAGTGCAGAGCTTGCACCTTGTATCACTACGTTTCAGAGCTTTTTTGTTGTTCTAACTCTAAACTAATTATTCCTGTTTTGATCCTCCTTTCTCGTGACCCCAGCCTTCATTAGCATGCTCCTACATTTTGTGACAAGGTCACTAAGGAAAATAATGCTGTCAATCCAAAGACCGATTCTTGAAGCAACCCACTATTTACCTATCCTAATTGATACACCTTTGAATATTCCCATTTACCTTACTTTCTTATTCATTTTATCATTCCCTTAATTGGAAAACTGTATCTTCTACTTTTTTGTCTGTACCAATAGAAAGAGAGACGTTTACTTCACCTCTACTCTTTCTGGTACCTACGATAGCCCATTCAGACCTACCAGATTTCTGTACAGCACTACATGAATCCTAGGTATAGCTTTAAAGCTGTATATCTCATGTTGAAGCTATTCCACTTTGTATGATTAAGATACTCAGTGAGAAAGACTGACTTTGTAAACTTAAGAGGCCTCACTGAATGTAGAAAAGTCGCTTTCAAACCCTTTATCTGCAACAGGAGTAGACTTGAACTGAATCTGAATGCCTTAGCTGCTGGGCTGTTTGGATGCTTTGAGCTTCAGTACATCATCCTTCTATATGTTTGACCTGGTATTCTCTGAATCTGAGTTTATTGAACCTGTCACATTTCTTCAGAAAAGGTTTGTTTTTGACACGTTAGAATTTTCCGAAGGTAGTGCTCACTACCCTGTTCAGGGGCCTTTTTGAAAGCGGATAATGATGTATGCTCTTTTAATGAAGACAAATGCTTTGAAAGCCTAGTTCTATACGATCAAATGGCCAGAAACTATTAGTAAGTGTTCTGCATCCCTTTGAGATGCATATATTATAGCCTAGTAACCCTATGATTTAGACTCTTGTTCCTTATAAGAATTTTTTTTTCTTAGTGAAAACTTAGTGGTGTACAGAGCTCAGCAGTTTAGTCCGTACCTCTGAGAATCATGATCTTCTTAGGGAATTTTGGAGTAAATAAATATGGAGTGATATGTATTTTTATGTGTCTATGTATATGTTATTTAGTAAAAGACCAGATGTCGCAGATGGCTTTCACATGTGCAGGATTTGTTTGGCGTGTGTGTACACACACACACACACACATATATATACACATGCACCCGCACAAACACACAATATACTTATATGTGTATACACACACACACCATATCCATATATGTATAAATAAACATATATACCATATATAGCATGTGTGTGTATATATATATGATTCTCATTTCTTCAATTGCTTAGCTGAAAGACATGGTCTTCCACTTAAAAGTTAAAAAAAAAAAAAAAAGAATGAAGTCTGCTGTTACAACTGAACTGCCACAGCTCTACTACTGCTTCAGAGCCCAGTTATCATCATCAGCTTCAGGTGTAGCCAGTAGAAATTCAGGTTGCTTAGCCTCCTAGAAGTGAAGTGGAAAATAATCTCATTTCTCAAAAGAACCTCAAGGTACAATAAAAAGAAATTTCCTATCAGTGCATGTGATTGGCCTGGTGGTGTGTTGGATCTGTCTTTTCTCGTTCACACAGGCTGAATCAAGCCCCTATGAAAAGAGATGATAATATTTTCCTATAGATGGGAAACAGAGGATAAACCAAAGCACATCTTAGGAATCCATATTCAGTGGAGACAGCAAGTCATCTTAGGAACCATTGGCTTGTAGGATCATGCTGAAATGTTTAAAAGTTGAATTAACAGAAAAAAAAGTATTTTTAGGTTGTTTTTTTCTGTTAATAGACAATATTTCCTCGTAGAGGATGCCAGCTAACTATCAATTCTATACATACTGGAGAATCTAAATCCATTTTTTACAGTAAGCAAAATGTTACTGTGTGACTCCCAGGATTTTCTTTAGACATATTCCCCTCCTCCCACTATTTACTGTATTTGCATAAAGTACTTTTAATAACAAAGTATTTCAGTGATGTTCCAATATATTATATTATCCTGTGCTATTCTTTCCTTTCTTGGCAAAACATGCAAGCATTAGAAGCTGTTTTTCCAGAAGTGGTGTCCGGCCACTTGACTAGCTCTCCAGAAGGTATATTGGCGGGTCAGAGGTTCCTTGGTTGTCTGCCACAGGCTTATAGAAATATGTAAGTGTTCTGCGTTGGTTTTCTAACACTTTTTGATATTATTTCCTCTTGTTACTGATAAAAGTACATCGTATTCTTCCACTTAAGGAAAAGGTAGGTGTGAATTCATCAGAAGATTTACCCATGTGACTGTTATGGCACCGTATGTCCATATTGCCTGCAAAAAGTATCTTTCTTGTGTTGGAAGCTCATAAATTCCAGGGCGTGTTCCATTTGTTGTTTTCAGTTTTTCCTCGTGTAAAGTATGAAACAAATTCATGTTATCTCTGTGACATATCAAAATCACATATGAAATAGCATACAAAAAAGGGAGATACTACTTAGAAATTGTGTTTCAACCAAAATAACTTTTTTGAAGTTTTGAAAATTACAGTGCTACCCTAAGACATGGAAAAAAAGAAGCTGTAGTGTAAGTAGGACCAGATTCCTCAAGGCATGTGAAGCTCCTGTTGATCTGGGAGGGGGTTTTGCTTGCTACCTCCAATATGGACGAGAAAGATCCAGAAGAAAAAACTAGCGTAAGCAATGCAGTAGCCTGGATGTCAGATGAAGGAAAAGGAAATGGTTACTCGCTTTACTCCTCCGTTCTGATATAACATATGTTTTGAGTGAATTATGCTTTGCCCTGTCCCCTCCAAAAAAAAAATGAAAAAATGCGCTATGGCAGTAACACCCACTTGATATGAAGTGACAGACCTCCCAGAGGTGCAAGCTCAAGACAAACGTGTCAGTGCTGAGCATCAGGGATCTCTGGCAGCCAAGGCTAAAGTTCTGGATGCAAGCGTGAGGGATCATAACATCTGTCCCAGCCCGCTGTTATCTAACTTCTCCTCTGGAAATTGGCAAGCAACTGCTAACACTCAAACAGTGTTTGTGTTATAAAAGTTAAAAAAGATTTTTTTGGTATATGCAGTAAGTCCTTTTACAGTATTTCTTAGAATAAAACCCAAAACTAGAACTGAGGAAAAAAAATCTGGCTCTGTGGGTTATGAGTACATAAATCTTGTACTGAAAATCCAAAGCTATTTGAGTTGGGGAACTAGGCTAGTTTACTTTCATGAGGAAGGGGTCAAACTGGCATTTATAAAATCCCCAATGGTTTCATCCTTTCTCTATATCAAAGTTTCTGTTATACCCAGGGAATTGAGCATCCAGGA